TTATTTATTTTGGTCTTTTTGAGACAGGGTCTCCCTGTAGCCCCAGCTGTCCTGGAACTCACTATGTAGACCAGGCTGGCCTTGAACTCACAGAGATCCACCTGCCTCTGCCTCCCGAGTGCTGGGACTACAGGCATGCACCACTATTCCCGGCTACATTTTTTTATTATTTTTATTTTATGTGTATGAGTGCATTACCTGCATGTGTATAAGTGTACCCATGTTGTGCAATGCCCACAGAGGTCAGAGAGGGTATTGGATTACCCTGGAAATGGAGTTAGGGATTGTAGTTTCCCACCATGTGGGTGCTGAAAATCAAACCCAGGTCCTCTACAAGAAAAGCCAGTGTTCTTAACCACTGAGCCATTTCTCTAGCCCCAGAAAACATTTTTTTCTTGATATCAGTAGGAATGCCTCCAAAACTTGGCCATTACAAAGGATGTTGGTTACAGATAAGAAATCTTTATATTAAGAAGATAGTCTATTAACTTTTTAAAAAGTATCAGGGAGGCCTTTTGGCTTCTCTTGAGAAAGCTATGTTTTGTTTTGTTTTTTGTTAATTGACCTATGATATGACCAAATTTAATAATTTTGTGTTTAAAATCTTTGCTATCTCTCAGGGACTCCTGAAACTATACATCTATGATACTGCACATAGGTTTTTCTGGTAGGATTATTCCTCATCAAGTCATTAAGAGATCATTTTAACATAGTTTGTTGATTTTATGAAGGCTTTCTCAACCTGTGAGAGCTTGTGGTAATGACCTGGTTAGATTGAAGATACATGGTACTCAATAAAGAGCAGACTTGTGAGGGGTGGAGAATTGGCTCAGCAATTAAGAGCACTGACTGCTCTTGGCCTGGGTTCAATTCCCAGCACCCACATGACAGCTAACAACCATCTATAACTCCGGTTCCAGGGGAATACAACACCCTTTTTTGACCTCCATGGGCATTGCACAGCACAGGTGCACTTGCATACATACAGACAATACCTTCATACAATAAAATAAAAAGAATAAATAAAATATTTTTAAAAAGAACAGACTTGTTAAAATGCAAAGTGGAGAGCATGCAGCTGATCATACCCTAGAAGAGGCTGCTTCTTTCACCTGTGGGTGTTCTCACCTGTGGTCATGGTGACCACCATACTCTATGTTAACTAGAGAACTTCAGCTCTTCTGAGTGGCAAAGGTCCTCTCTAATGTCTAAAGGGATCTCCCCATTGTGAACTCAAATTTACTACATTGGCTCCCCTAACAGTTTATTTCATCGGAATGTTTGAATGCTTTTGTTTTTTCAGACAAGGTCTCATACAATGGGCCAGGTTGGCCTCAACCTTGCAGTAATCCTGCCTCAGCTGCTCAACTACTAGGATTGCAGGTACGAGCTACCAGGCCAGCCTTGGAATTCACTGAAACTGGTAACTATGAGACAAGCGTCACGGATCCAAAGTCAGTACGAGCTGTATTTCTCGTTTTCCCTTCCGATACATTTTAAAAGCAATTTCTCACGAGATGTAACATTAAGTGCTGAGCAGTGACTTTACCTTCATGCTAACTATTGCCACTCTGAGGTTTGTCCCTCCAAGATCAACAGCCAAGGCACTCAGAGTTTCAAGAATGTGGTCAATATCTTGAGAGATACTCTCCTTTACAGGAGGAAAGCAGAATTTCTTTTGTAGTGGCTCTTGAAGATCAATAGATTTGAGAAACTTTAAAATCCTTGGAACAGCATTTCCATCCCCATATATCTTTGAGCTGTAATATCCAAAAGAAGTCAATTCAGTTAAGTGTGTCTGCCATATTTGACGTGATATCAAGGACATGAAATCTGAGTCTTTAGGAAAAATACTTGGTTTTATTAATTTAAAAGACTTTAAATTTATTCTTATTTTATGTGTATGAATATTTTGCCTGCATGTATGTAAGTGCATCCATGTCGTGTAATGTCCACAGAGGCCAAAAGAGGGTGTCAGATGCCCTAGAACTGGAGTTGTGGCATGTGGGTGCTGTGAACTGAACCCAGGTCATCTGGAAGAGCAGCCAGTACTCTAACCACTCTCCAGCCCAGAATTTGTACTTTTAAGAATAAAAGTCCACTCTCTGGGCTGGAGGCAGAGCCCAGTGGTAGGTAAAGCACTTGCCTAGTGTGCATGAGGCCCCAAGTTCAGTCTCCTGCACCACAAAAAAGGAAAATAACATCTCCACAGTACGTGTGCATGTGTGTTTTAAAATGTCACGCACATGATAAATCATGCTGTGAACTTTTCCTGTCAATTAAAAGCTTTAAATCATAGTTACATATAGAACCAAGTAAAGTAACATCTGGTTCTCTTCAACAAGTCATAACTGAGCACCTGCGTTTGGGTTCTTTGTTTCAGTTTTGCTATTTTCCAAGTTTTATCTTTACATTTCTGAGAAAACTTAAGAATTTTACAAAGAAAAGAGGGCAGCCAAAATTAAGTTGCTGAACTAGACCATTTTTAAAGAAAATCAAATTATCTTATCTTCTACTACTAGCAGTGGTACTCTGGTAATTAAATGAGGGCAATTTTAAAAATCTCCTCCACTGGACTATGGCCACTGCCATCCTCACCTCACTTAGCAGCGCCTAGCGTGCTCTGGTGTTAGAAGTCCTGTTGAGATAAGTAGACCGTGACCGACCACAGCTTCAAATGGCGCCTGAGGTGGCTCCCTTTATGTGTGAGTGTCTATGAGTGTGCGTGCATACCGTATGTGCATGGCACCCTCAGAGGCAAGAAGAGGGTTTCATATCCCCTGGAACTGGAGTTATAGATGGTTGTGAAGCCACCATGTGAGTGCTGGGAACCAAACTCAGTTCTCTGAAGAACAGCCAGTGCTGTTAACCACTAAGCCATCCCTGTGGTCCCAGTTCCCTTTTTAAATCACCCCAGAAGAAGAGACTGTATACTCACCAAGGATACTGTTTACCAAACTGAAGGTGTAGTGCTTGCAATATTTTGTCTTGGGTATCAGCATCCCGGACATGAAGAACATTCTCCCCTAAGTAAATCCGGGGACATGTTTATGATGATTTGAAATGTAAATGTCCAAAAAATACGTAAGTTAGCAATGTGTTGTATTCATAGTTTAGTCCCTAAACCCAGCAACTTCGAAGTACACTTAATATCAATTTCCCAATTTCCATACAGCAAACAAGGTCACTAAGGCCCTTTATTCCCAAATTAAATCACATTTTTGTTTGTTTAGTGAAATAGGGTGCATTAATTTTTTGTTTTTTGTTTTTAGAGATGTAGACCTGGCTGGCTTGGGACTCACTGTGTAGACCAGGTTACACTAAAACTTTTTGTTTTTATAGATGGTGGTTTCATTACATAGATCTGGCTGGTTTGGGACTTACCATGCAGATCAGGCTAGCCTCAAATTTATGGCATTCACCTGTTTCCGCCTACTAAGTGTTGCGTTGTGCCACCACATTTGGGGGAGGGTTGTTTTTTGGGGGGGAGGATCTTTTTTGAGACAGGATTTCCTGTAGCCTCAGCTGGTCTGGAGCTTGCTATGTAGACCAGGCTGGCCTTGAACTCACAGATATCTGCCTGCCTCTGCCTCCCAAGTGCAGGAATTAAAGGCGTGAGCCACCACACCCAGCTATGTTGTTTTTGAGAGTGTTGTTAGCCCAGGTTGGCCTGGAAGTCATGACCTTCCTGCCTCAGCCTCCTGAGTAAGTGTGCTACCACACTTGGCTCGGTTGGATTAGTTTAACACTCACATACTATTTTTGCCAATATCCACCAAGTTATTCTCACAACTCAGCCAGCCATTCAGTCAGCTGTCAGGCAGTCACTGTCCATCCATCTCTTGGCCAATGTGAGAGTGAACATGGCAAGAGCAGTTTTTCAATAGGCTTGGCTAAGAGGAGTAGAGAGGTGGCTGGAAGGAGATAAGGGGTCAGAGAGAGCTTAACTCTGTCTCTCTCTGTGTGTGTGTGTGTGTGTATTTTGTTTTTTAAGACAGTCTCCCCATAGCCCCAACTGGTCTGGAACTCAGAGATCCGACTGCCTCTGCCTCCAGAATTCTGGGATTAAAAGTGTGCACCACCACACCTAGCAGACTTTTTTTATTATTTTTTGAGGCAGGGTTTTCCTGTAGCCGCAGCTGGCCTAGAACTTACTATGTAAACCAGGCTGGCCTCCATCTCACAGAGATTCTCCTGTTTCTGCCTCCAAAATGCTGGGATTAAAGCCGTGGGCTATCACACCCATCTGCTTAAGCATATTTAAATGATGAAGATGTTAAACATCTCTGGAAAAGAAAGGCTGACTGACTGATGAGCAGATCACCAAAGAGGTAGGCAGGGTGGGGACTTTTGGTAAGAGGATGGGCTGTGAACATGCAGGAGACACCCTTACCTCATTGTAAATGTCAGAAGGTCAGGAATCCTGGATGGGGGATGGGCTTATATACTATGTAAGTGCAGTGGCTCTCTTTGCCCCTTCTGCCCCTCCATCCCTCCCTCTCAGACTCCCTCTGTCTCCCAAAGTCTGGGATTTCAAATGTACATGACCAGGCTCACACCACCATGTCTAGCTCCTTTTGTTAGGGTTCCAAACAGCAGCAGTTTCCCCCCTCCCCAACAGGGACCTCACCTTGACCTTTGAAGTCAAGGGAAACAAACTCTGCTGAGAAGCAGCCTGCCTTTCCTCTGACCTCCAAAGATAGGATAAGCAGATTCTACCTGATAACCAGAGATTTTAGTTGTTTATCATAACAGCTTTTCTCTTATCTTAAGAGGGAAAAAGTAAACACTTCCAGACCCTAATCCTACCTGCTTTTCCTGCTTCCCCCTCCCTGATTTCTCCCCCAAACATTCCCCCCTTCCACACCCTAAAGCCCCCATATATAAAGTTCCAGACATCTTTCCCTTCCCTGACATCTTTCCCTTCCCTGACATCTTTCCCTTCCCTGCCCTTCCCTGACATCTTTCCCTTCCCTGACATCTTTCCCTTCCCTGCCCTTCCCTGACATCTTTCCCTTCCCTGACATCTTTCCCTTCCCCGAGGGAAATGTGTCCCGTGCGAAATAAGCTGTATCCCGCTGAGAATTCTATCTGAGCCTCGCTGCCTCCTCCATCTGCACACTCGCTCTCCATCCCAATTTTTAACCTATCACCTTTCACTTGAGCTCACAGCAGCTTTCAATGCCACTTCCTTGAAACTATTTATTTTCTGGGTTTTAATAATATCACTCTTCTGGTTTTCTCCTGACCTCACTTGACAGTTTCTTTTCAATGTTCTTTTCTGACTTGTGTTTCACCAAATGTTAAAAGGCTTCAAGGTTGGTCTAGGTTGCATTTTCTGCACTATTTAGTTTTTCCTGAGTAATGCTGTTTAGTTCCTTGGTTTTTTGTTGTTTTTTTTTTTTTTTAATTTTCTTTTTCTTTTTTAAAATTTTATGTGTTTGGGTATCTTGCCTGCATGTCTATAAGTGCGCTATGTACATATGATGCTCCTGAAGGTCAGAAGAGGGCATTGGATCCTCTGGAACTGGAGTTACAGACAGCTGTTAGCCACCATGTGGATGCTAGGAACTAAACCCGCAGTCCTCTGCAAGAGTAGTCAGTGCTTTTAACCACTGAGTCATGGCTCCCACCCAAGTTCCTTGGTTTTAAACACCATATATAATATATATAATAT